TAGGTCGATAGATTTTGGGTAGTTTCCTGAATGACTTCGTTGACTGTTGCTCCGACTCATTCGTCGGATGATATGAGAATTCTGATATGAAGTCGGCAACAGCCTACCCTTTGATGGTTGCTTTTGGTCTGTACTTCAGATTGAACTAACTTAATTCCATGGCCCATTTAAGCAACTTACCCAATGCCTCTAGTTTCTTAAGGACCTGCCTAACTGGGTAATTGGTCATTACATAGATCATATGGGCATGGAAGTAAGGTCGCAACTTTCTGGAAGCGATCAGCAGGGCATAAGCTAATCATTCCATTTTCGGATACCGCATCTCATCATCCAACAGACGCTTGCTCACATAATACATTGGCCATTGGACCCTGTTCTCTTCCCGAACTAAGGCTGCACTGATTGCGAACTGAGAGATTGACAGATACAGAAGGAGGATCTCTTGCAAGAGAGGTTTGGATAGAAGAGGTGGCTTCCCGAGGTGTTTTTTAATACTCTAGAATGCTTGTTCACACTCGATAGTCCACTCAAACTTCTTGTTGGCCTTTAGTACATTAAAGAACGGCAAGCAGCGATCTGTTGCCCTCGATATGAAGCGACTGAGTACTGCTATTCGCCTATTGAGGCTCATAACCTGCTTCTTGTTGGTCGAGCTTTTCATATCGAGGAAAGCTTGGATTTTCTTGGGGTTGATCTCTATTCCCCTTTGGTTAACCATGTATCCCAGGAATTTTCCTGAGGATACTTCGAATGAGCACTTGAGAGGGTTTAGCTTCATTCTATATTTCTAGAGGATATCGAACATCTCAGTGAGATACGCTATGTGATCTGAAGCGACATGCGACTTGACTAACATATCGTCCACATAGACCTCAATCGACTTCCCGATCTGTTCGGAGAACATCTGGTTAATCAGCCGCTGGTAAGTCACACCAGCGTTCTTGAGGCCGAATGGCATAACCTTGTAGCAATACAGCTCCCGATCTATAATAAAGGAGGTATGCTCTTCGTCTGACGCATATATCAGAATTTGATTGTATCCCAAGTACGCGTCCATACAACTCAGCAGCTTGTGCCCGAAGGTGACATCCACGAGCTAGTCGATCTTGGATAGGGGAAAACTATCTTTTGGGCATGCTTTGTTGAGGTCCGTGAAGTTGACACAGGTTCGCCATTTGCCGTTGGGCTTCTTTACTAGAACCAGGTTGACAACCCAGATTGGATAGAACGCTTCTCGGATGGATCCATTCCAAAAGAGATTATCTACCTCATGCTTCAAGGCAGCATATCACTCCGGATCCATCGCTCTTTTATTCTAGCAGACTGGCTTGGCTTGGCTTCACTGTCGATGTTCAAGGCATGGAAAATAATATTCGGGCTAATCCCGACCATATCTACATACGACCATGCGAACACATCAATATTTTCTCTAAGGAAGTTGGTCAGTTCGGTAGTGAGCTGGGGGTTGAGATTGCTCCCAATCCTCAACACTCTGCTCGGCTCGCTCTGGTCGACCAACACCTCAGATAATTCCTCAACTGGCCCACTGGAAGGGCATTCTTGAATACGAGGATCCATATTATCCTCGGCTGGGCCAGGCTGCGACTCAATTCGGTTGATCGCCATTGCCTGTCGGGGAATGCCGCGCGAGATGCCCTTCCCTTTGCACGCCATCTGCACTGCCCATACATAACAATTGCAAGATGTGCGCTGGGATCCGCTAACTTTCCATATCCCCATCGGGGTGGGGAACTTCATCTTGAGATAGTATATCGAAGTGACCGCCTTGAAGTTTCTCAATAGAGGTCGCCCCAGGATGCCGTTGAAAGCAGACGGGCAATCCACTACTAAGAATTTAGTTACTTTGGTCACCTCGTCAGAGTCACCTAGTGTGACTGGAAGCAAGATCGTTCCTTTGGGGATCAGGTGGTCCCTTGTAAATCCGTATAGAGGGATCGCGGCGGGCTTCAGGTTGGCCTCGTCCAAGTTCATTCTTTTGAAAGCTGTCTGGAATAGGATGTTTACAGCACTTCCGTTGTCCACCAACATTCTGTGGACGTCGAAGCGCCCTATCAGGGACGTGATCACAAGAGCGTCGTCGTGGGGATGATGTAACCGAACTGCGTCCTTTTCGGAGAAGGTAATTTCCTCCTCCTTGCGAACCTTTGGTGGTCATCGTGTCGTGCTCATCACACTGATGGGATCGTGATAGGCTGCGCAGGCATATCTTTCTTGGGCGCCTCGCGAGTTCCCCGCGAGGTGCAGTCCCCAAAGATCATTCCGACGCTACATATACCCTTGCGATCACAATGCTTCTTTCCTAGTTCCCCTTGATTTTTCTCCCGCATGGGAGTGAAGTCATCAATATACTCTTTGAAATGCCCCTGCTTGATGAGGTCTTCGATTGCCTCTTTGAGAGCTCGGCACTCATCGGTGTGATGCCCATTATCCCAATGAAAGCGACAATATTTTTTACTATTTTTGGCTGATGGGGGATTTTTCATGGGCCCAGGCTCTCCGAGCAGGCCAGCTTCTTCTGACTTGTCAAGAATAGCCAATACAGACGCACTCAAAGGCGTATATTGATTCCTGTTGCGATCGCGATGAGGAATTGAAGCATAAGACTTTTTGGGCTCGAACCGTGGCTTCTTTCCTTTTCGTTGATCATCATTAGCCCATATGCAATCAACTCTCCTACTTTCCCCCCGACTAGGCGCACTACCTGAAGTGCCAAGGTCGCAATGGTGAAGCACCGTCACGGAGTTTTTAATACGGAGGTACTTCTCCGCAAGGTTGTAGAAGCAGATGAGGGAAACATCATCCTCAGCCTATAGCTCTTTCCACAGGTCGGTCTGTGGGTGAATTCCCACTATAATGAGAGTCAGAATAGACTCTTCGGGAGTGTGAGCTACCTTATTAAGTTCTCTATGGAATCGGTCAATGTAGGACTGGAGGAATTCATCCCTTTCTTGCCTTATGTTGCTGAGGTAGCTTAAAGGCATTGAAAACTTTCGGTTCGCTTGGAAGTGTCTCAAGAACGTCATGCTCATCTGAGGTCACGAGCTGATCGACCCCGTCGGGAGCGACCTGAACCATCGTTTGGCATGAGAGGTTAGGGTTACTGCCAAACAACGATACTTTGCCAAGTCTGAAACCTGGTAAAGCTCCATCAGGTCGTTGAATTCGTATAAGTGATCTTGCGGATCAGAATTTCCATCGAACGCCCGCATATCGGGCATTCTAAATCTTGGCAGGAGAGGGGCGGCTAATACCGCTAGAGAGAAGGGAGATGCTGTTGCGACCTGCCCTTGCTCGTTTTGCTGAGCTTTTAGTTGATCTAGAGCTCGCTGTAGCTCCTCAATCTGAGGCAGTGGAGCTATCTGGGGATTGCTTTCCCCCATGCGAGTTCAAGCCTTGCGATTGCGATTGAGAAAAGTTTGGAGGTCGGATTCCTCTTCGCCTCGGCAGGCAGTTCCGGCCGCCTTTGACACACACTGGCTAAAGTCGTGTGATGGCGATGAATGGTGCAGGGAATTTTCACAACCTCCGTGGTGGTACGAACTGCCCCGCGAAATGTGGGAACCTCCCGCACGATGACGATCAGGATCGTTATTCTGGCGGTGATGAGAATCACCCCGCTTAGCACTTTTATGGGAGTGCTCATGCGACGTGGCATGGGACGGCTCGGGATGCAACCTTTCATAGAGCTTTAACGCCACGGGTATTCTACTCGGGACGTGGTCGGTGTTTGCCGGCCTTTTAGAGCCCTTAAGCCTGCTATTCGCCACTTGTTTACCCTTCTTTCAACGCGCTTCCGCGTGACCTGTAAGTGTTTGCGGTTGCACCACACTATTTGATTCGGGTGGCATGCCCCGGTCCAAACGGTCCAACCTTTGGTTAACGGTTTGGAGAGTATTGTTGAACCTCTCCAAGTAGCTCATGATGGCAGGGTCAAGTTGTGAGCTTGAAAGGATATCCCTCGCGGCATTTTGTGGAACTGAGGGCACCTCGGGAGAAATGTCTTGTACCTGGGGATCTCCTCAGCAACATGATTGGTTCGTTCAGGTTCGAGTCGGTGAGCCATTTGCTGTTGTAGGACCAGTTAGACAGAGATTCTCCTAATGAAGGACGAATACTAAATTAGGTCCCTTCTTCTAGCGCCAAACTGTTAATGCGTGATCTTGACACCAACTAAACACATATGTGAAATGCTGAGCTAGCCTAGAAGACACACGTGAATGGGGGATTAAGAATGTCAATGGTGTAAAGACAATGTTTAAAGTGGTTCGGATGCTTAAACAAGCGAATCCTACGTCCACTGATATTGTATTTATATTTGAAAGATCAGGCCGCGACTTAGCGAGCTGACTGTAGAGTGTTGAGAATACAAATGAGAGAGAGAGAATAAGCTATTACAGAGAGAAGATAGCTAATCAAGAGTAAAAAATGAGCCAATCCCCTAAACAGGAGAGAAGCTCTCTATTTATAGTGGGATACATTGAGGTAATGATTACTGAATCCGTAAAAAGGGGTCAGGTACCGTGCAAATCCTTCTTTGCGTCCCGTTATCCACCTACTCGTGTGATTTTCTCATTTCATGTAGTGATTGGACACGTGGACGGCCTCCAGCCTCTCAATAGTCTGGCGCGCACCCACTGCACTGGTAGGAGCATACTGCTCACGCCAACATGCGACGTGGCCGCGCCTGACTGGCTGTAAGATCTGCCTAGACTCTGACCATTTGTGCTAACTGGGCTCTGCATCAGCCTTACTTTTCCAAGCATAACAGTTATCATAAGTTGTCTAGTTGTACCTTTCTATGTATTCAAAACCAGATTCCTCATCAACAAATATCAATAATACTTTATGAATATACTTTTTTATATAAGTTCTTTTATACAAACTACGTGTTTTAAGGTGATTAAATGATTTTAAATTAAAAATAAATTAAAGTAATTTACTTGTCAAATATGAAGGTTACAACCGTTTTGGATCAATAGTTAAATATTAGCAAATAACATTTTCAAGTCATGTGCCATAAGGATGAAGGCATCAACATCACTTACCGCTTGAATAGTTTTAATTGAGATTGGGAGGTCAGATTTGCAGGGATCAGCCTGAAGCCAATCCACAAGTTCTTCTCCACACGTGTCACCATTTGTCCAATACTCATTTCTTTGATTGCCACCGTCACTCCTCGACGTGTAGCTCCAAAGCCTGCCTTGCACCACAAAGATCATCTCATCAATTGCGTCTCCCTCTCGGATAATACGACTGCGCCGAGGAAAGAAAACTGGCCTGACATGTTCACGCAGAGCATTCATTTTTTCTTCACTCAACCCTTTAAATTGTTCTACCAATTAATGCACATACAAGAATCAGAATAGAATGAGAATGAGAACGAGAACAAGACTGAGATTCAAAGTCATAGGTCCAAACTCACTTTTTCGAGTAGATCTTTACAGAGTTCGTAACTCATTTTTCTTCTGAGTTTCTCAGGAAGGCCATTGAAAATAATTTCTATATTAACGGCTTTAATTTCCCCCAATACATCATAGCGGTAAATCTGATTCTTAAAATGAGATTTAAGATCCTCAGGAAGATTTTCAAAAGGCTTCCATCGCTTTATCTCTCCCAACTTCTGTATCCGGGCCCATCCTTCATCTTCAGCTTGCAGAGATTGCTGTTTCATGTTATGTTTTTGGTTATTTTTAGCAAAATTATGAGTGATAAGACATAGGAAAAGGATTTACCAACCTGCAATTTTCCAACCAGAAAGAAGAACAACACCACTGCAGTGTAGATAATACAAAGTACCATTATGTTTCCCTCTGGTTGATGAACTGTTCGGACGTTCTGACCAAAACTACTGCAAAATATTGAATTCAAATGTATGTATACATATATCAGATTATAATTAAATCAAGTGTTGATGAGATCATTATATTCATTTAACACGGATGTTAAAGTCCTATAATATGTTTATTATTGGTCCGCTGATTATAAACATTAAAAAACAAGATTCCAGTAAAACTTTCTCGTATAAGAAACAACTATGAAGATTTGTCTTGACTGAGTTGTGAAGTACTTAAAAATACCCTTTTACTTAGTAGTTTATTGGTATTATTTGTGAGATATTAGGTTTAAGTTGTGTGATTTGGCTTAATTATTTCATAAATGTTTTTATGGAATCATGAGTATGTTTTATGTGTTTTCAGGTTATAAATGCTTAAAAATAATATTTAGATGAATAATTATGTTGGCGATGGAATTTGTGACAACTGGAAACAAGTGGTTTGAGATTCGGAGTTAAAACGAAGAAGTTACGACGTTTTGAAGATTAATTGCAAAATCTGGAAAATAGTTTCAAGTATTGAGCATGCCTTGGTATTTCAATGATATCTGGAGCTGTAGACCTCTTTTGGTGATGATTCTTGAAGCATTGGAAAGCTAACGGAAAGATCTATAATTCGTATGTTGAAGACTTTAGCAAATTCAGAAAGCTTCGTACAAGAAAAAGAGCATCTTTGTGTGTAGCGGCACAAGTTCTACCCATGCCGTGGCACAACGATAGATGAAATTGAAGATTGTGCACATGCCGTAGCACATTTAACTCATGCTGTGACATGACGACGATTTCTAAAAAAACCTGGGTTTATGTAATTATGAATTTTTTGGATTTAATAGTTCTAATCTGAATAGAATTGTTGTAAACACACTCCTAAAACCCTAGCATTATAAATATATGTTTTTAGCTATTATTTAAGGGGAGAGAAGAGGATAGAGAGGAGATGAGCGCTATTTGTAAATTAAAACAACACATCTTGGGGTTTTGGTTCATCATCTAGGGAAGTTTTCTTTTATCTTTAACTTGAACTTATGTTTACAATGGTTGTTTATTTTAATTTTATTATAAACTAAATAAAGTTTCTAGGGCTAAAATGTAACCAAAGGTTATGAATATGTGTTGATTGATTATTGTTAATATTTGTTAAGCATTCTTTTCTAAGTTTTATTATGGTTCTTAATGCTTCAATTCTTTTGGTACCAAGAGTTGATTGATCTAATGGACTAAGTTAAGATTGAGAGATGATATCTAGTTGGTCTAATGTAATAAAACCATAGATTAAACAAATGCTAAAGATAGGTTACTGCAATTTATGAGGCTTTTGGTAAATTCTATAGAACGTAATGATCTCTTAAAACTTAGATCCAATTTAAAGATATCTTGGGTTAGTAATAAAAGGTTAATCAGGTAATTGTTCGAAAGAAATTTATTAGAATTCTAGGGAGTTTGACATGTAGAAAAAGCTTAATAATTTTAACAATAATTATTAATACATAGGATTAAATTGGTGTGAAATCTATGTCCTAGGTTTAGTCAAATTGTTTTAAAACTAGCCTTTTATTTGATTTGTGATTCGTTTTCTTTTAGTTTTAATTGTTTTAATGTGTTAATTTATTCTTATAATTTTCGATTAATCAAATAGTAATAGGATAATTTATTTTGGTACTTGTTTGCTAGTAATTTTTTAGGGTTTGATATTCACATACTTATATTATATTACTTGTACGATTTTGTACGCTTGCGGAACCCCTGTCAAGTTGTTAAGCAAAACTATAGGTTTAAGAAAATGTGAAAGTCACATTTTGAGAATTTTTATCATAATATATACATATATATTCATACATCTGAAATCTAAGTGAAAACAAAGAACAATAATGGGTAGTTGCATAATTTCCATATTAGGAGATTATACTATCAATAATGGATAGGTCAGGGCTACCAAATGGAAACATATCACAAAAGTTAAGTAACCTAACACGATTAGTAAATGAATAAAGATAGTCTGACAAACGTATCTCACAAACTTTCTTTCACAAATCTAACGTGACTTTTATGAGTGGCCATTCCTCACGGAAGGAATAGCTTTTATGAACGGTCGTGTCTCACAGAAAGAATGTTGTTCTTCTCTAAGGAAGGATCATTCTTCCCTTATGCAACAGGTATGAAGGTACAACAGCTGTTCCTAGAAACAAACAGTCATTTCTTTATAAGAAACTCATAACTTATAAAAGAGTAATTGTTCTTAGAGACTAACGATCATTCTTTCATAGGAACTATTGTTCTATCTTATGGAACAACAACTCCTTCTTATGAGTTCCATAAGAAGGAGTTGTTGTTCCTAAGGAATGGTTATTCCATTAATAAGGAACAATCATTCCTTATAGGAACACTGTTCTTTATGAATGGAACAATAATTTCTTCATAAGGAACGACCGTTCCTCTCTAAGAAACAACCGTTCATGTTTAGTCAAAGTCATCAGTTACGTGGTAATGTCAACTCAATGACATGTTGGGTTTGTGGTGAAAATTTATGAGATTCGTTTGTCACCGTAGTATTAGCCCAAACATATTTTAATCATGTCCTGAGAAAATAAGTCAAATATGGTAAGACAATTCAATAAAGAATGATTCTGTGGTATCGTAGATTCTGACGAACATGCGTTATTATGCACAACCTGATATTCTGCAAGGCCCATCTGAAGAAAAACGTTATCTTCTCAGCATAACTCCTCTGCTGCAACATTCCAGATTGATGGGCTTCAAGAAATATTCCAAAATCATAGGGGGGTGTGTGGTATTTCTAGAGCAAAAACTTAAGAAGATGATTTCTTTTGGATTGTCATCACAATTGAAAATATAAATACTGCATGGTTTATGTTTTCTGCAGGCTTCCTTCCAGCATTTTGTCTCGGTGTATTGGCTCCGTTATACAACAAGCTGCAAATAACTAAAACCCAAAAAGATAATAGTTAATCTATATATAATCATTCTCTTCTACAGACGTCGTGATTTTTTTAAAATCAAAACATCTATCCCTGATGGTAGGAATACACCAAAATAAAAAAATTTCCTTTCTTGATGGAGGTAACTGGCTGAACTTTTGTCTTTAAAATATCTTTAGAGGAATGGATGTTCAGATTTAAACAAAAAAAAAAAAAAAAAAAAAAAAAATTTAGATGTCTGCGTCTGAGAATTTTCGTATGTAATTGTATGTCTAATCTATGAAATGAGACTCACATGACTGGCAGTTATGTAAAGGGAAAAGAAACTGAGCGTCCATCTAAAGAAGGCATCTCTACGGCGCCATGTTCTCCCCCATATATACATTAATTGAAAGAATCTTGACGCATGGTGCAATACTAGCACGAATTCTGCAATCCAAATACGCCAGCTCAACTTTCTTTGTAAAAGAAGAGAAATCATCATCACCTAGACAGTTTGGAGTCCACAACGGATATGAGATTAATTATATTTATGTAGGACAATATAAACAAAGATTAAATTTAATCATGTATAGCAAATATTTGCTATACATTAATGTAACAATTCAAACTTACACATATAGGGTGGACGAGATTGATGATAAATTTTAGTCACATGGCTTGGTTAGAGAATGTGATTGGGTTATATAAGAAACTTTAAAAAACTCAAAACTTTAGGAAACTCGAAAGAAAAATAATGTGCGAGAAACTCAAAGACATCAATATCATTTTATTGGATCGAAGTCCGTTTTTACGGTAAATATGTTATAGTATATATGACTAATGCTACATATACAGATGAATTCATCTTAGCTAGTATGTTTGAGTAATCCTACGTATACAAATTCATGCAGTCAGAAAATGATTAGACAAAGATTAAGAAGACTTTGCTGCGAAAGAGAGAGATTGCATGCCTTACCTGTGGAAGAGGAAGAATGTTCAATATGTTAAATAACCAGAAACACCTTTTTGTTATTACATCCCTTTCTAAATCTTCATACAGTTCGGCGAGCCGACGTCCATACGAGAGGACATATAAGAAATCAAAGATCGTAAGGAGAGCACAAATGATATATGGAGTCGTCCGTTCAAGTAAAATGCATTTTTTATCATCTCTAATCTCCAGAATGTATAAGAGGAAAGGATCCACCCATATGATGACACTGATTAATATTACAGCTGTTCTTTTCTCCGCATTGTGCTAAAAAGTTTTCAGTTGTTCCTTAATGATCCACCAAGAAGGTAGGTTTTCTTGGGACTCTTTCGATCTCCAGTTTGTTTCATTTCGACATTTGTCAACAGAAAATTGGCCATGTGCACCATCACCTATATTCAAAGTCAAGTCGGGCCGCCTGATCAATGAATAAAAAATGTGCCATAAAGTTAGAAGCAAAAAATATGTCGACGAATACTGAATAGTAACTACAAATTTTGCAGTGAGTCAAATGGTCCAGAAATCCGGACCACAATTAGCAAAAAAAATCACTTACATGATCAACAATAAAAACACAAAATCTGATGAGCAACAGAAGCAATTAAACTTTTGATTTTTTGGCAAATTTGACTGGGCAAGCCTCTTTAAAGTGCAGGATTCTTCATTGTTTATTATATAAAAATAGATATATGCGTGTGAATATGGCAAGAATAAAGCTGTTTTATTTTTCCTTTTTAAAGCAAACTTTACGCACTACAGAAGTACCGTAAGTCAGATTCTATATAAAATATATAAAAACCCCTATTTTTAGATGATATAATGTTTTATTATATGGTATGATATATTAACATAAATATATATCGCTTCGGAAATATTTAAAAAATATATTTAATTGGTTCAAATAAATTGGTGAATAATATATTTGGCTGGGAGGATCAATGGGTGAGTATATTATATAAATTATTAAATTATCCTCATTTTCAAATATTAATTTAATATTATTTTTTCAGTCATTTCTTTTAACCCCTGCATTTGAAATTTTGCTAAAACACATCAGCTATATAAAACTTTAATTTATGGTAAAATAACCCCCACCCACTCCAAACCACTGCCAGCCACCACCGCCGGCAGTCCACGGAATGGCGCAGACTGGTCGTATATGGCCGGTCGTGCACCAGCAAAGCCATTTCCGATCATTAATCACAAATCCATGACTATTTCATGGCCAAATCTATGGCCATTTCATGCCAGATCTGTGGCTGTGAAACGATTATAGAAACGCCAGATCTGACCGTTTCTGACTGTGATCCATGGCCGAAAAAAGCCTTATCGGTGCACGACCAGCCAAATCTCGTCAGTTGTGCACCATTATGGCGAATGACATCGACGGCTGGCGGTGGTGAGTAACAACTGACGGTGGTCTTGGGTGGTTGGGGGTATTCTGTTAACTTTTAAACTTTTTTATAGTTGGGGTATTTTAGCTAATTTGTCAAATGTAAGGGATTGGGTAATTGTTATTTGGTAGACATTTGAGGATAATTGTGTTTGAAATGATATTTAATTAAGTGCAAAATGGATATAAAAAAAAAAGATTGCCTAGTTATGTTTTAATCTCGATCGGGGGAGTTATCAGATTACTCCTAACATTACTAACAGTAAATACTATTTACAATAAAGGATTTTTATAATATTTCATTACTTGCAAACCAAATACCAAAATCTAGCCAAATAAATTAAGATTACTCATGTTATCTTATATATCTGGGATCCAAATACACCCTAAAGAGTTATATAACTAATAGCCGTAAGTTCCAAAGACTTTCCAAGGCAGGTGAAAAGGGTCCTAATTTATTTATTTTATCATTAGAGTTTGAGTCTGTCAGATATTGTTCAGAAAGTGCTGTCAATTTTGTAAACCTTAATAAATCTTATTTTTAAATTTGGTTATGGTATTAATTTAATTTGGGACTTTGCATAAAGTGTATTATCATGCACAAAGAAAGAGAATTTAACACATTAACATCAAATAATTGGCAAGAACACTTAACATTAAAATTTTAATTATCATGCACTTTCTCCAAAAGCTCTTTTATATAATATTGAACCATGCACTCAAAATTATTTTTATTTCAAATTCTGTAAAAGCAGTAACAACTCTTCGATATTTAATACTTTCATAATAGTGAATGAATTTAATATTAGTTCATTTTGACTCAAAAGCAGGGGATGTATTAAAAGTAATTCAATTTAGAACCACCTCGAATTTTGTACAGAAAAAAGAAGTGATTCCTTCCAATCATTTGATTCCTTCCTTTTGCCAAGTTTTCAGATTTGGCATATTATGCTTGATACTTTCCTCGCAGTTTCACGTTTAATTTTTTTTTTTTTTTTTTAGATAATTAAGGTATCCTCGAGACTACGAAACATTTTACAATCCCAACAAATCAAGATAATTATAAAAATATGATAGATGTCTTTCTTGCGAGACATATTATACTTTCAAGTCTCATTGTTCTCGATACTTTCCTAGCAGTTTCACCTTACTTTCAAGTCTCATTGTTCTTGATACTTTCCTTATAGTTTCACCTCACTTTCAAGTCTCATTGTTCTTGATACTTTCCTTGCAGTTTCACATTTAATTTGTTTTTTTTTTTTTTTTTAGGTAACTGAGGTATCCTTGGGACAACAAAATACTTACAAGCCCAATAAATCAAGGTAATTGCACGATTTAAATATAAGATTCTCTGGATATAGATAACCCTAATGGCTAAAGGGTTTGCCATCTAGACACAATGGGAGAGGTGTTTTATGTTTAATTTTGGCAATGTAAACTTAGTAAGTTAACATATATAACGCAAAAGTCTTTTAAGAGAAAAAGGGTTAATATCATTTACACCTCCTCAAACACAAACAACTAAGTTGAAAGAATAAAGAGTAATATGAAACTAAAAAACAGAAAACACATACAAATATAAATCAAGTAAAGAGAAAGAAGTATACGTGTAATTTACCTTGATTCACCCAATTAACAAGGCTACATTTAATAGAGTTAATATTATTGTAATACTACCTCACTTCTCTCGTTTATAATGATGTAATTTACCCTATGATTTGCTATCACTCATACAAGAGAAAAGAATGCATATGTGTGGCCCTTTATTGTTGAAGTGGTCGACAACTCCAACATAAGTTACCCCCATCAATTTGAAAATTTGCCACTTACATCACATACCAATAAATTAGGATTGTAATCGAGCCGAGCTAAGCCAAGTTTTTGGCTAATCGAGCTCGACTCCAATGCTACCAAAACAAGCTTGAGTTCGAGCCCAAGCCTATCAACCTAGGAAATGAAGATCGAGTTCGAACCTGGTTTATTTGGAGGGTACTTAAGCTCGAATTCAAGCTAGCTTGGTCAAAGCTTGTTTGACCAAAGCCAACAATTAACCACTTGAAGTAAAATTGCTAACCAGTTTCCCATTTCATTACACTATTTGGCAAACACAACAACTGTACATGACTATATACCTCAAAAAATAGTTACTGCTGTGAATCATTTACTACTTAGCATACTGGTTTTGTACGACATATTAAGTGAAGTGAACTAAAGTTTTAGTTTAGTTCACTTGACTTAATTAATCTTGAAGGTTGTGGCTATAGTTGGGCTATTTTCTGCCATAACCACTCTTTTTCCTACTTTTGCAAACAAATTCAATTTAGTTAGTTTCTCTTTTTTTCAAGTTCAACAAGCAAACCAAGTTGAGTTAGAACAGTGTACTAAATTGAAGGTA